TGTGTGTGTGTGTGTGTGTGTGTGTGTGTTTCACAAGAAGTACTTTAGGGCATCTCCCTTTGGTCATTCCTCCCAGGACCATCGTTTCAGTCCTTCTCTACTATGGTGTTGCAAAGAACCAGGCATATTGGCCTCCTATCTTCTTCTTGGTGGAAGGATCCCTTCTTGGTCACATGGCCCTTCGTCCTACCCCTGTCTCCATCCTGACCCTCTTAGTCTAGAAGGGTTGCTGTGAGTGGGCCAGAGGAGCCCTCTCCTCTCCTCGCCTCTTTTTGGTGGGCTCAGGGACACCCAGTGCTATAACCGCTTTGCAGCCCTGCCTCTTTACTGTGTCACCTGGATGTGTACTCTCTACCCCTAAATGGCTTGCAGGCAGGAACTACAGCCTCCACACCCTACCTACCCACATTAGCTACTCAGCCTGGAGTGTGGCAGCGGGCAGCGCATTCTGCCTAGCTTGTTGCTTTGGAAAGGAATGAAGATATCAGATGCCTGTAACACTGGGATTACATTGAGCCCATCTTTTTCATCCTATTTTAATTGAGGCTCTTCAATCCCATCACTTTATATATAGACTCATGGTCTTTACGAGGCTCTTAGGTCAGTTTAATAGTTAATAACTTCAAGAGTTTTGAAAGACATATTTTCAAGTAACCGTTCTTGTTTCTCAAAAGACTGTAAGTTGAGGTGGGACGGTTCCCCTAGACTCTGAGCTCTGTCACATTAAGGGGGGAGGTTACACATGCAGGTGTAGGCTCCCCACCTTGTCTTGGCTGTAGAGCCCTTTGGTGCTGCCACCTGGTGTCACGCTGCTAATTTCATCACGGGATGGCGATGTATAAATAAATATTGTCTTGGTTTTTTTGTTTATTTGTTTTTAATTTTAAGTGCAGTTTGAGGAGGTCCATTATTTCTGCCTCCCCACTCGCTTTCCCAAATCCTGTCCCTTGTAAAAGGTCACAGAATAAGACAGCAAAACCAGAGGGCTTTTCAGAGTTTGAAAAAAGTTTGAGGGCTTTTCAGTTGTTTGGTTCTTTCTCATTGTGCCTGCAGATTAGAAGGTTAAACTAAAAATAAATAAATAAATAAGTAAAAATAATTTATTTTTAAACCATTGGACATTAAGCAGTCACGGATTTGTAATTGTCAAGCATTAGAAACAATTCTATTTGGGCAAATAAAATAAAAGTTACCCAGTGTGTTAGCAGAGAAAGAAAATTAACTTTGAGTGGGACTGTAGACAGCTATGGAAGGGTTGAGAGACTGGAGCAAAATAATAATAATTCCCATAAGGCAGTTACATATGAGCTTGTATAAGAATAAGTTATTTTTCAACTTACAGAATTCCTTTATGCTCCTTTCGGGGGGGGGGGATACAATATCCTAGCCTAGCTTACAGTTTACAGCATAAACTTGCCCGGGGTATCTGAAAGTACTACTTTGTTGACAGTGACTGGGGTCCACAAATAGAGTGAATCTGGGTGGGAAGAGCTCGCCGGGCAGGTGTTTGTAGTCGAAGAGAGCGGGAGGCAGAATTCGGTGAAAGTGAGAAATAGCTGTGATGTCCAAGCTCCAAACTGATCTCAGGAGGGCGACAAGGGCACTTCCCATGCTTCAGGCTGCTGGGCGCTGCAGTCCTGGGGGCAAGGCAAGGGAGAGCTTGCCAGTCCTTGTGACTCTGGATTGAGGCTTTGCTTATCTCCCCAGGGAGGAGCCAAGGTTTTAGAAACTGTGCAATACGAGGCCCAGGGCAGACAGGCCAAGAGGAATACAGGTGGCAGGAGCTTCCTTTGCAGGACGAAGAAGGGCAGGTTTCCAGAAGTGGGCAGTCGTCCAGAAGTGATGGACTCGGGATTCTTTTATTCACTATTTTATGGACTTCGTAGGCAAGGATGTCTTTTAATAAAGTCGTTTTGGCGGACATTGGCATAGCTGAGGTGGAAATAAGTTATGGTGGTCTTAAAAGCGGGGGCTCCACACGTTGATTGGATCTGTATTTAGGTTCTACATCTGGTGCTGAGTGCAGTCACGCCTGAGATGCTAAACTTCCTCCGCTTGTCAAGTGAGAATATCTAGAGTACCCTGGTTACTGTGGGGATGGAATGGGTTAAGGGAGGCACAGCTCCCGGTAGGTACCACGTTATGCTGATTGCGATAACCCTGCCTCATTTAAATGGGTATGACAGGCCAGAGAAGTGTACCGAGTGCCCTCAGAGAGGGCTGCTTGCCTTCTCCGCCGGGCCAAGGTCTCTCTCTGAACCTTGTCACCACACGACCAGGTCCCCACCCAAGTGAATGACTTGTGTGCTCACCCTCTTTTTACAACATTGCTTTTAGACTGCTTCCCTGACACCCAACCTTAACTGTCTGCATTGATCATCCTGGCCTTGTTCTCCTTGCCATCCCCAGTCACATTCAACTCGCAGCGCGTGAGCCATAAGAGATCTGGGGTTCCTGGATCAGAGTGAAACCCGGGGTTCTGCAGAGCTTTAAAGATTCTCTTGCCAATGGCAAGGAGAGAGCTTTGGCCCAAGCTTAGAGGTCTCCGCCTACAGAGTGGGGATTGCTTCTCAAGAATCTTGCCTCCAACAGTTATCAGACTCCTCCCAGAGTCTCACCCGCTTCTGTGGACTTAGCCCCAGGCACAATCAAGAGGCTCTCAGAGTCAGAAAGCCCTGGAAAGGCAGGGAACAATTTCTGAGTCGCTGGCGTGGAACATGCCTAACTATGTCGTTGTGCTGTGTGCTAGGGGCTTGTCTCATGGTGGCTGGGGGCTGGAGGCATTGCATTTCCTGGTCTACTGAGAATCCCACCAAGCTGGTCCTCTGGGTGGTTGCAATTGAGGACCTGCAAGGCACCAGCTGGCAGAGAGATCGGCCCTGGCTACTGACTTAGGACTTTCCCCTCCCCCACTAAAAGACATACATTGCCAGGAAAAGCTAACAAAAATTTCAGGGCAGATTTGAAGGAATTAAATTATTCTTAGGCATATTGCCTGGTTTCCAAGCTTTTAGGGATATGTAAATTTTCATGTTCTTTGGAGTTCTGTGTCTCTTTTGTACAGAGCACATTAGTACAAAAAAAAATGAGATTTGCTAGTTCTACATTTTTGTGTGAATTTATGCAATGAATATTTAATTTGATTCTGGATCTTTCAGAAGGAGAGGGTTTCTTCAAACGTAATCTAGCTTATTTTTCTCCTACGCTCCACTGGCCGCATTAATTTTTTTCCCCCTCTGATGCCTGAAATGCAAAGTAGAGCGCTATCCCAAATTAATATTCTTGCTACACAAAGATTTCCAGTGTTTGTTTTCACTTCCTTTTAATATGCAGCCCTCCTTAGAGTGTTATTGTATAAAGCTAAGAGGCTTTAGCCATGTGAAGTTGAATGCTTTACACTTCTGAATGCCAACATAACAATTAATCTGTGATTAGATTCTGCACCTTAAGACGCCTGCAACACTCAGCGGCTAGTGTTTCTGTCTTCCAAACTTAGGAAAGTCTCTTTGATTTGACACAGGCCCGTGTGGCTGTGTTTGTATCGCTTTATTGTACAGGTTGGTGAACCGAATACCTTTAGCTTGAATTTAGTCTCTGCAGAAAAGGTAGCATTGATCAGGAAATGGGGTGCAGCGTGGATCTACGATGCCTGCTGTCCTACGAGCCATCCATCCAGGATGACTAAAGCTCTCCCGGGTTGCTCTGCCCCCACTATGCTTGGCAACCGAAAGACAATGTTTGTCATTACCCTGGCCTCCGCCAAGCCTGTTTTACATAGTACTTCCGCAGCAGCAGCAGCAGCAGCAGCAGCAGCAGCATGGCTACTTCCTTTCCTATCTTAACTCCTTAAGATCTAGCGGCTATCCTCATTACTGGCCTGCAAGCTGGCATCCCAGAAAGTCGGTGATGGTTCCCGCCCCACCATCAGCTTGCTTACTTAATCAGCTCTACTTAAATCGCCTCTGATGTCCTCCTGATTTCATCCGGAGTTTTCGGCTGGTCACTAGTACTTCTGCAGTGGCTGTCTCTATTCCCTGAGCCTAGCAGGTCTCTTGGCTCTCCTTTGCCTAATATTGCTACGGAATTAATTCTCAGCAGCACGGGGTCAAGCACTTGCTCCCCCTTGCTTCTGCCAGTGAGCCTTGTCCACCTTCCACACATTTTCTCGGAATATTGTGTACCACTTCAGTCTGCACCTTTACAGGCCCGCTGCTGCCTGTCTGTCTCTGTCCTCCCTTTCTCAGCAGCCCTCGCTTCCATTCTTTCCCTGTGCCAGTCCCTCCCGGGCATCGAGGCCAGACTGGGATTCCTTCAGTACAGGCTTCGTCCCATGTCTGCTTCCCCGCATCGCTGTGCAGTGTGCACTGTCAAGGACTGACTTAGGCTGGTTGTCCGTGTGCATTTCAAATGGCCCGACTGCCTTTCCAACCCAGGTTCACTGTTCCCTCTCTGTCTTCTGATGGCTGAGACTGCCTTTGCGTCTTTCTGTGCTATGACATTTGCTCGGTCTGTCTGTAGCCAGGAGCATGCCTCACATTCCATTCTGGCTGCAGATTCCTGCAGCGTGGTCTCTCTCTCTCACTCGAACCCCGTGGAGTTTCACGTCAGCATCTATTATGGCATTTACCTAATGTTTTGGTTCCTTGTGTACTGGTCTTATCTCCAGAACATTGCCACGTGCTACCCCGCTCCGGCTCATTCTCCTGTCCCGCCCAGTGTTCTTAGAAGGCAGGGCCTGTCTTGCTAATCTTGGTGGTGTCTACTGTGTCAAGCAGTAGCACACTGGCCCGTGTATGTCGCCTGCCAGAGTGATTAAGTACTTGTTGAATGGAAGTCGAAATTCAAATCCCCACAGATGGCAAAGTGTGATGTTCATTCATAAGTCTTGTTTCTGCTTTGCTAGGTGAAGCTGAGAGGGGAGTGTGGCAGTAAAACCAGACGACAGATGGACAGTGTGACAAGAACGTCAGAGAGGATCGGGCCTCGCCGCGAGAGTCAGCCTGGAGTCGAGGTGTTGACAGGCCGCTGAGAAGGACACCAGGGCGGACTGCGGCATGCCGAGGGAGTAGAGCCTTGTCTTCAGTCACACCATTGATGGAGGACAGATGGACAGCCGGACGGCCAGTCACCTCTCTTAAGCCTTTGGATAGTGGTCCTTCGTCCTCGGCTGGCCACCCCTTAGGGGTTTTAGCCCATTCTGTGAACTCGCTTTCCCTCAAAACGTAAACTCAAGACTGCGGTGTACAAGCTGACTCCTCTGTTGCCCGGTGACAGAGCTGCAGACATGAGCGCCGAAGGGTACCAGTACCGAGCGCTGTACGACTACAAGAAGGAGAGGGAGGAGGACATCGACCTGCACTTGGGGGACATACTGACCGTGAATAAAGGCTCCTTAGTGGCTCTTGGATTCAGTGATGGCCAGGAAGCGCGGCCTGAAGACATCGGCTGGTTAAATGGCTACAATGAAACCACCGGGGAAAGGGGAGACTTTCCGGGAACTTACGTTGAATATATTGGAAGGAAAAGGATTTCACCACCCACTCCCAAGCCCCGCCCCCCTAGGCCTCTTCCGGTCGCCCCAGGTTCTTCAAAAACTGAAGCAGACACTGAGCAACCAGGTCAGCATGACGAGTATTCGGTTATTTTTTAACAACCTTTTGTTTTTAGTTTTTTTTTGTTTCTTTTTCTTTTTCTTTTTCTTTTTTACATTTTTTAAATGGTAGAATCTTAGATTTGAGCTGGGACATCAAGCTCTGAGCAGAAGCCATCTTGGCAATTTGACATGAACTGATATGTGGTATATAAAAGTTTGGGCGATCATGACATGGCTAGAAGTTTGCTTTTGTGTGGTTGGGCGCTTGTATAAATTGGGACATGGTGTCTGAGAGCCTGTTTAGTGAGTACCATTAAACACTATTATTATAGTGGCCATTGACTTAACGCAGGCCTCCTATTTTTATGGTTGTTATTGCTTTGGGAAAGCGAAGGGTAAGTTTAGTCTAAGCATATTTAATATTAATGTGGTTTGCATGGAAAAATGTCGAGTCTTGTAGTGACCACAGAACTCAGCAGAGAAGAAACCATTGTTTTTCTAACCTAGAATCTGCCCCTGGGTTTCCTCTCGAGGCTTGGGGTTGGCATAAAAGGAAAGGGGCTTCTGTTCCCACGAGGGCTGTGCCATTGTGGCAGGAGTGCCAGTCATCTGAGTGGCCCCAGTGAGGAGAAACTCAGGCTCACTGGGTACTTCTCTCTAATGGAGGCTACCTCCATTCAAAATGCACGTGCTGGAGATGGCCTGGCCTTGGGCCTGGACACAGCTGTTCCTGGGTAGATTTTCTTTTTCTTTTTTCTTTTCAGTTTCTCACTGAGATGAGCTTCACGTTCAGTGTTGGTGCCGTCTGTTTTGTTAGATACTGTTTCTCACTAGTCAATCTTGGGCCCCTTTCAGGGGAGGGGGTAGCAGGAGTGGTGTAGTCTTTCTCCCCACCCCCAGAGACTCAGGAAGGAATAACCAGGTTGGCTAGACAGATGAAGCTGCTGAGCTGTGGGTCCATACTGAGCAGCGCTGGACGGGGCCTGCACGGGAGGCGTCTGGAAGGGTTTCGAATCAGGTGAAGGAGCGCAGGAGAAGAAAGAGGCAGGTTTCAGGGTGAGAGCTGCCTTTAGGCGCTGGGCAACAGGGTGGAAAATGTGACAGAGGGCAGATCTGAGATAGCCCCGAAGGGCTGGCCGCTCTTTTGGCCTCCCTCATTGGACTCCAAAGGGTTACTTGTTCTGAGAATGTTATACTATAGTTTTAAAACTATACTAAGTTAAAAAAGCATTCTTTTTCAATCAAACCAGAAATTCTTGAACTGTGCATGTGTTCCGGGCACAGACAGTTTTTTAAGTGCTGTGTCTCTTCCATATTTGGTTTAGCAGACAGAAGATTTACAAGTCGTTGGTTTTCTCTCCATCAAATAACAGCTTTCTGACCTGACTTCTCTTTGCCATTGTTGTTTGAAAGATTTGCTTATTTTCACTTTATGTCGCGTGTGTGTGTCAGACTGTGTATCTATGTACACCACAGGCATGCAGGTGCTCACAGAAGTCAATAGAGGGCATCAGATCCCCGAAACTGGAGTTACATGGTGTCATAAGGTACCATGCGGGTGTTGGGAAATTACACACAAGTCTTCTGGAAGAGCAGACAGGCCTGTTAGTCGCTTAGCTCTCTCTCTCTCTGTTCCCCCGACTTCTTCTTTTTTTTTTTTTCATAAGTTAGAAACAGCTAAGTAGGTTCATTTAAGAAGAAAAATGACCTCGTTGCACCCCAAATACAAAGAGCTACAGAACCATAAACAAAAGCTCAGCTGAGTTCGAGATGACTCATAAGGCGGAGGTGAGGGTGCCAGGTCATAATTACTGGCGAGAAGACTCTGTGAAAATAGCTTCCAGACAAACGTATATTCGATAACTTACCTGGTATAAGTTTATTCGACTGTCATAATGCAGTCAAGGGATAAGACCTACAGGAAAAATGACCCTCTTTTCTGTAAGGCGCTGCACTATCATGCTTTCGTTTTCTGGTGAGCATGGAGATTTTTAACAGCCCTTTCATTTTTCTCTCTGATATGTGGAAAAAGAGAAAAATGAAAAATTATAGTAGGATGCAAGAAGAGGCCCGTCGTGATGGACGTGGAAATATTAGGAAGAATGGGCCTGAACGTAAGTGGGAAAATTGGAATAACTGGAAGGTTGGGAGGACAGTGGAAGGAGCGGGTCACCAGGAGGGCGTTGTACTAAATGTTCATTCGCTACTCTAGGAACGTTAGCCTCACAGTCTCATTTAAATATGATTCATGTGACGTGGGAGGTCAGCAGCTCCCGGGTTGGTACCGCTGCAGCTTTCTTTTGCCCAAGAAATATTCATTTCCAAAGATTCTGTAGTGGAAAATTGTGTGACGGCGAGAAAAGGAGCGCTCTTCTCTTTCTCTTCGTTTTTCCTCTTATGTAACAGACGTCCTCAGTCTTGTAGTTCTTCTGTGCACTCTCTCCATCTCATGTGGCTTCTTTTGGATTCCCTGCTTTCTTTCTCTCACTTATAAGGCCCCCCCTTCAAGCCTAAGTACTGGGTGTCATTCTCTCCTCTGGGCACCTGGACCCCAGATGCCATTGATGGGTGGTGATGTAGACAAAGGAAGCTTGGACCAGCGTGCATCTTATCCTGGTTGCTTTAGGCCTGTTGATTCTTCACAACCCTGGGCATCCCCTTTTCTCTTCCTCATGTTTGAGAGGAGGTCCTGACCTCCTAGGCTTCAGGCATCCTCCCTCTCTACCTCCTAAGTACCTGAGACTACAGTTGTATACCCACTGCTCCTGGCTCACCGGTCTGCATTTCAAAGACTTTCAACTCTGGCCCAGAGTAGACTCCTTTTGAGCTGTTCCTCCCTAGGCAGTAGAATCTACCTTTCTTTTGCCTTGTAGTGCATGCATTTCAAAAGAAGACGAGGATATTTAGTTGTGGGGTTGAAGAAATAGGTCTTTTCATGTGGACAAGCAGGCCCAGGTATGTAGCTAAGCTACTGAGTGCCAGGTACAAAGTGAATACTCGGTAAATGCGGACAACAAAACCCAGCCTAGATGTACATCTGAGCGAGATGTCCCTTCTGCCAATACGGTTGGCACACAGTTGTTTGAGACACCCTGGCCTGTGCAATGAATGAGTTTATTTCTCCAACCATCTTGGACTGAGGGCATCACGTTCATTCGGTAAACACAGATGGGGCTCCTTGTTTGTGCTAGAAAGCAGAACAGCTGAGGAAATGAAGACAACTTCCGGGTCCCTCCCCTCCTGGCTGCGCTGCCCTCTCAGCTCCAGCAGTCCTTTCCTAGGTCCCTCATCTGCTGACCCCCTCCGCTTCTCACGGAAGCTGGCCCCGCTGCCCCTTGCCCCTCTGCTCTTTCATGGGGAGCTCAGAGAGAAGTGGTCCTGATCCGCTGTGATCCGGCTGTGCAGCACAGTGCACCAGTGTCTCGTCCAGTGATGAAACCCCATGCTGGGGCCTGATCCACCAGCTGCAACACATGTATGTGTGTCAAGTGTAGGTGCACAGGCCGAGTAGCTCAGCCTGCTTCTGGCCTCGTGCCTTATTTGCCCTTTCTTCAGTCACCTCCCAGGTACCCTGTCGCTTTATAGCACTGCCTATTGTGCCCCCAGAATGCTTATCTTCTGCCCCAGCCCTTGGGACAGATCGTCCTGCCTCTGGAAAAAAAAGTGGGGGAAGCTGATAGGGAGCAGAAGGTGTGTCTTATCAGCAGGTGACCTGGGACACAGATTTTGTATTATTTGCTGTGCCCTCCCCCTTTATGGCTCTCTCTTGGCATGAGGGTTGCCGGTATCAATATGAGGTTCATGTTTTATTTCACCTTCCTCTAACCTAGCGTCCCACTTGAGCTTCTTCAGGGACGACCTTTGTTTTGGTTTGTTGGCGTATGCAACCTGTATGTTTTACACTGAGGCACACAGCCACGATCTGGCCCCTCTGCCTGAGCTGTTGGGTAAAGGCATTCTGTCTGACACGCAAGCTGACTTTGTTGGGGACTCATGCTTCCTCTCCAATACAAGGAAGTGACTCAACTGTGGGTGAGGATTTAGGGATGGGAAACACAAGTACATTCTTCTCGTGAGGAAATTGTCTGCCGCGCTGTTTAGCAACTTGAACACATACTTTGCAGTCTTCCAGGTGAAGGCAGACATTGGCTGGATACTTCGTCTTGTGAGCTTCTGGCCAAGACAGTTGTGTAAATCCATAAAATCTGCCAACTTGAGGGGCCCCTTGGGCACCCGAGTTTACATAAACCTCAGGCTAGCCCCGTGCACCCATGACCCCGGGGTCTCCCGACAGCAGGTCCTAGCTGGCTTCACAATATAAAACAAAAGGCATACATGTGCTTGACATGTTTGACATTTTGATCAAAATCTTTTCTAAATATGAAAAGAAAAGAGCCTGCATTCTGTTTTCATGGTTCCCTGGGCATGTTATCTTGATGTTTTTCACACCCGGGCCTCTGAGTGTCCCTCCGTGCCTGTTCCTCCTTGTCCGAAAGCAAGGCTGCAATAAATCACATAAATCAACTCTGCACTACCCAGAGGTCACAGAAAAGAGAGACCTGATACCAGATTACACACGTTAGTGGGGTGCCATGTTCTAAATGAATGATTCTCTGCAGGTGACGACAGACAGGAAGGCCCGTTTCAGAAGAGGTATTTTTTTTTTCTTTTTCTTTTTTTAACTTTGTCCACCTTCTTTCCTCCTCTCAAGTACGGCATCACCAGGAAACTGGAGAACTGTCTCGGGCATCTAACTTTGGGTGGTGGTCCCTCCCTTGTTCTGTGTTCTGTATCCATGGTACTCCGCAGAGAAAGCAGGACAAGGCACAGGACCTCTGCTGAGAGGGCCCTTGAGCCTCCCTTCTTTTCTGCTTCCGGTTAGCCAGAAAAAGCTTGAATGTTTGCCTTCTCTGTTTTCCTAGGAAATGGAATATACATCTTAAAAGATCATCAGTGTAATTGATTAAACACAAATATTTATTTATTTTGATTGTTGTTGTCATTTTACCGGTCATGATGATAGTA